TAACCGAACAGGTAGCAATTTAATGACTACTAAGTCAGTTTTGTTATAGTTTCAACACACTTAAACCTTCTTATTTCCTATAACATAGTACCAAAATACCAGTTTTGATAAGTAAATTGCAAAAATTAAGTACTTTGTTGTGACTTTAGTAGGATGTTAAGAAGAAATAGAATTCTACAAAAATTGCTTACTGTATTAAAATAAGACATGTTTTTTGTTTTTATTCCATCAAGGAAACGCTGTCAAAACCTCGAAATGTTTTCAAAACTTTTCTTTATTGTGATGTCAGCAATACTATTATCTTCAGGTAAAAATCCTTATTCAACTTTGTTTTTTGTTAGGCGTATCGCGTTCGTAGGACATCTTTCCACGGGTGTTTTACTTGCGTCTTGAGTAAAAAAAAGTAGACTACGTTATGTTGAGAATGTTTTTGTCGTCACACCTCTTGTATTTTCCGACGTTATATTTGCAGACAGACTTAATTTACTTCATCTACTTAACTGACTGTCTATTCTGGCAAATGTAAATTAATAATGCATCAATTAAATAGGGGAATGTACCTAATGTTGACCCAGAATAGTTAAATATATACGCAAAGTTAATTAAAAAAAAAAGAAATATTATTTAGTTGGTGATGGGTGAGGCTAAAATATGACATTATTTTGTGGAGTGCATTTTTATTAGAATATTTTTCAACGAAAACCAACACAAATTGTTCAATTATTTTAAAATTAAACCTAGTATGTCAAAAAAGTATACATTTCAAGCAGATGCATTAAAATTCATTGAACCCTCATGCGACATCTCTACTAGTAAACCCTGTGGACTCTGCCATCAGAACCAAGTCGTATAGAAAGTTCATCAACACACAGTACACCATCAGTCCCTTGAATGTGACGGCGTACTCATGTAGCTCCAGCCTTGCTTGTAGCCTCAGGTGTATAGAACAGTCAAAATTATGCTCGTGTTACAGCTTAAAAGACAATTTGTGCAGACTTGGTGAGTATATATATATATATATATATATATATATATATATATATATATATATATATATATATATATATATATATATATATATATATATATATATATATATATATATATATGAGCATTATCATTATCATTATCATTATCATTATCATTATCATTATCATTATCATTATCATTATCATTATCATTATCATTATCATTATCATTATCATTATCATTATCACTATCATTATCATTATCATTATCATTATCATTATCATTATCATTATCATTATCATTATCATTATCATTATCATTATCATTATCATTATCATTATCATTATCATTATCATTATCATTATCATTATCATTATCATTATCATTATCATTATCATTATCATTATCATTATCATTATCATTATCATTATCATTATCATTATCATTATCATTATCATTATCATTATCATTATCATT